ACACGTGAGGATAAAATAAAGGTATATTCAGATACACAAATTATTATTTCTTTCTTTTTTTAAATTTTGGTAGAGACAAGGGCTTGCTATACTACCCAGGCTGGTCTCAAACTCCTGGCCTCAAGCAATTCTCCCACTACAGGCTCTTAAAGCACTGGGGTTACAGGTATGAGCTACCATGCCCAGTCTCCAGATGTGTAAATTCTTACAATCTCTATCTTCATTCACCATTTTCAGGAAGCTACTGAAAGATGTGTTGCCCAAAATAAGGGAGTATACCAAGAGAGAAGTTATAGAATTCAGGCAAGAGGAGCTCCCACAAAGAGAGAAGGTAAAGGAAATTCTGAGAATACCAGCAAAGGGAAACATGAGCAGTAAAGTGGAGAACTCCTGAAGTTGGAGGCAAGGCATCAAAGAAAAAATAATGACCTAACCAATTACCTGATATATTTTACCACGTGGAAAACTTTATCAAGAAGCTTTTTTTAATAGAGGTGTTTCAAGGTATGAGAAAACTCAAATGTTATACAACTAATTTGTTTTTAAAAAGAGAGGGGCGGCTGGGTGCGGTGGCTCACGTCTGTAATCCCAGCACTTCGGGAGGCTGAGGTGGGCGGATCACGAAGTCAGGAGTTCTAGACAAGCCTAGTCAATATGGTGAAACCCCATCTCTACTAAAAATACAAAAATCAGGTGGCACGTGCCTGTAATCTCAGCTACTCAGGAGGCTGAGGCAGAAGAATCACTTGAACCTGGGAGGTGGAGGCTGCAGTGAGTCGAGATCATGCCACTGCACTTCAGCCTGGGCAACAGAGGCAGACTCCATCTCAAAAAAAAAAAAAAAGAAAAAAAACAGAGGGCAATTATTAACTCCACAGGAAGAATAAAGTAGTTCAAGTAAGAAAACATAATCACAGTACCTGGCTCAGCAAGGAACAACATTTAAATAGTCATAATAAAAAATTCAGAGTAGGGGCTAGACGCGGTGGCTCACACCTGTAATCCAGCACTCTGGGAGGCCGAGGCAGGTGAATCACCTGAGGTCAGGAGTTTGCGACCAGCCTCGCCAACATGGCGAAACTGTCTCTACCAAAAAGACAAAAATTAGCCGGGTGTGGTAGGACGCACCTGTAGTCCCAGCTACTCGGGAGGCTGAAGCAGGAGAATCGCTTGAACCCGGGAGGCAGAGGTTGCAGTGAGCTGAGATCGTGCCACTGCACTCCAGCCTGGGTAACAGAGCGAGACCCCGTCTCAAAAAAAAAAAGAAAAGAAAAGAAAAGAAAAAAAATAGTTGGCCTTGGTGGCAGGTGCCTGTAATTCCAACTACTGGGGAGGCTGAGGCAGGAGAATCACCGAACCCTGGAGGCAGAGGTTGCAGTGAGCTGAGATCATGCCATTGCACTCCAGCCTGGGTGAAGACGCAAGACTCCATCTCAAAAAAATATATACAGGTGTGGTGGATCATGCTTGTAATCCCAGCACTTCAGGAGGCCAAGACCGGAGGACTGCCTGAGGACAGGAGTTCAAGACCACTCTAGACAACACAGCAGATACTGTCTCTACAAAAAATGTAAAAATTAGCCAGGCGAGGTGGCATGCGCCTGTGATCCCAGCTACTCAGAAGGCTGAGGCAAGAGGACAGCTTAAGCCCAAGAGTGTGAGACTGCAGTGAACTATGATTGTGCCAGTGTACTCCAGCCTGGGCAACACAGCAAGACCCCATCTCAAACAAAATAATAAATAAAATAACATAAATAAAATATATATATAAAGTAAATGAATGCCACAAAAAACTTTACTTAATTATACTGGGAGACCGGAAAGACCAAAATGAAAGTGAGCAAAACTCTACCTCCACCATATGAAGAAGTTAATATATAAGTCTAAAACTGCTGAATCAACAGCAAATAGTACATACTGAATATTAGTTAGAAATACAGGGATAAATGCCAGAAGAAACAGCTAAAAAACTGAAAGTAGCTCCCTTTGGGTGGCAGGAGCTAGGGCAGATAAAGGACAAGGGAGTGAAGAACAAGAGACTGCTACCATCATCATTATTATTATTATTTATATTATTTGGTGTCAAATCTTCTTAGTATTATTTTTTTTTAATGATTTTCATGTAACATTTTTTTGTCACCCAGGCTGGCGTGCAGTAGCGCGATCAAGGCTCCCTGTAGCCTCAACTTCCCAGGTTCAAGTAATCCTCCCACCTCAGCCTCCCAAGTAGCTGAGACTACAGACCTGCACCACCACACCTGGCTAATTTTTTCTTATTATGTAGTAGAAACAAGGTCTATGTTGCCCAGGCTAGTTTTGAACTCCTGGCCACAAGCAATCCTCCTGCCTCGGCCCCTCCAAGTGCTGGGATTACTGGTGTGAACCACCACACCCAGTATCATGTAACACTTCTTGATTTTAAAAAATGAAGCTGTTGGGTAGGAAGCCACCTGTCACTGAAGTGATCACACAGACACTGTCCCTTCTTCTATGTTGTAGCAAGGATTCAGACACATTCACAACCATACTGGTAAGCTGTACCAACCACTTTCACTCACATGTATTAACCTACTCAATATTCAGAGCAACCCTATGCAGAATCATCAGCCTATTTCAGAAGAGGAAGCTGAGGCTCAATGAGGATACATGACTTGCGGAAAGTAAAAGAACTAGTAAGTAATATACTGGCGTAGGAACTCAAGATTCTCAAGTTCATAGGCAATTTCACTCTATCATGCCATACTTTTTAGGAAAGTAAAATTATTTCTAAGGTCAGTTTCTTTCTTTCTTTTTTTTTTTTTTTTTTTTTT